CTTGTTTGCACCGAGGGCGTGGCCAACAATGACTCAGCATTCAAATTAACCGAGGACTCGCTCTATACTTATTCCTCGAGAACTACATAGCTACATGCTTGAAACCTCAGCCGTTCAACGGAGTTGCGATATTGCAAAACCTAGGACCAAAATCAAAGCCAGCCACAATGCGCGGACTCCGCCCTTGAAATGTCTGTGTGCTCGTAAGCTAGATCTCATCTCTGGCTTGAAAGTTAGCGAGCGCCATGTTCAAAGCTTCTCACGATCGATCTGTCTTCGATTTAGATGAATGAAAGTCTTGGCGTCCAAATGGCTTACATGAACATCGTCCCTCCCACGAAACCTTAGCCCAGGCGCCCCGCGTGAGCGAACGAATAAGCAGTCCATCTGTTGTGTCTCAAAGTCCTGGCATTCGTTGACCATGGCGGGACCGCGCCTCTGGTCAAATATATACATGCAGTCGAGGACTTGATGGGGATGTATATGGGTCGAGCGCAGTGGCTTACAGGAAGATGGCAGCAGCCTCCTCATGGATCGGCGTTTCAGTTTTCGATACTGTTCGGAGGCGTGGTTCCCAGCGAAGTTCAGGTAACCATGCCCGATCGCTTATTCAATCTGATTGCCGCATACTGGCGAGACAGTTATGGACCGACCCCTATCACGGGCGGTTTTGTATCCACATTCCCCCCCCCGTTTGCACCAACTCGTACAAAGTCTCGAGGTGGGTGTTCGCCTTGTACCGGCACGGGTTCTGTTAAATTAGACTAGTCAGATGTTGACGTAGCGCTCAGCGGCTGCACTCCAGTTATATCGTAAGGTGAAACCAAAAGATTCTTATTAAGCCTAGCTTATACTACATCGGAGCTATGCCACAGATCGACGGACACACAGACGCGTCGGGGACGGTGTCAGAATTGCGGGAGGTTAATGTCAACACATGTGGGGTCGGTATCGTGACTTGTATTCCAACAGGTTCCGATACCCATGCCCATGTTCCCATCATTGTTGCTGCTGTACGTACGGGCATCGGCCGCAATCCATCTGCTAGTCCATCGACCCACATTATTATCCTCTCGAGATTTTAAGCCAAGTCGCCCATGCTGTTCTCTACTCTTGAGGTTCTCCCTGCCTGTATATCGAATCCAGAAGCGCCATCACGCCTGTCTTCAATATACATACTGCTTTCGCCATGGATAAGCCCCAAACCTGGTCACGGATCTTCACGTGTCCTTTACGGAAGACTGGGGAAACGCATATTGGGAGCTTGGGAGTTTTCTCGAACAACGAGCTCACATGGAGTATATTCCCTCATGGTTCTGTCGTTCAGAGAATTCCCTACTAGATATAAATGTAGCTCTGTCATGTTCCACAGCATCTGCAGAATGATCTCAGAGAGGTTTTTTGGCCGTACTGGGATCGCTGCCTGTCGCCGGATCTCAAATGGAATCTGATTCCAGGATAATACAATGCCCGAGTTCCTTGCCGATACTGTACATGATTAAGGGGAAAATATCAAGGAATACGCACCCATCTCGGCCTACCTGCCTACTTGTCATTCTCCATCATTTATCCCGAAATTACTGTGCCTGACCATCTGTCTGACTGGCCTTCATGGTTGTTCCGTATTTGAATATTCTACAACATTGCTCCGAGGTCGAGGAGCTTGAATTGCGGGAGACCTCTCATCATTCTCTCCCCTGAGGCACTTAGGACGACCGGGTCTTTCCGGTTTCTTCTTGGAGTTGCCAAATGTCGTCGGTACGATGTGGGCGTTCTTTTGGCCTAGTTTGGTTCCAATACTCCTCGAATGGATTATACTGATGGGGTAGTCCGATCTCGATCGCTCCTGGAGAAGTTATTCCCCTCTGTTTCTTCCCCATAATGTGGCGAGTATTTATCTTGAAGACGACCATTCGTCGCGGGTAGATGACCCGCTACATGTAGCCTCGGCCACGCATGTGTATCCGTTGGCACTAATTCTTGTGCGACGACGTGTGAGGCTGATATCGCTTTGCATTTGAACTGAACAGTCAATCAGGACTCATCGCGGTATATACATGTATGCGCGACTCCATTCTCCTGCCACAACATTTACTCTGTTTTCGTGTCGAGTCTCGAGGCGAGCGTTACGATCCATCTTGCGATGACATGGATTCTGACGAACTTGCCCCACACAATCAGCACCACTATGAGCGGTCCAATTACCTATCCAGCGACCCATATCTACCACCTCCCGGACGAAATTTTGAACAAAATTCTCGTCTTTGCTGTCCTTGGTTGTTCGAACTCTTTGCTCCCCTTGGACATCGTGTCCAGAAACGCCATCACATCGGTCTCCAAGCTATGGCATTCGTTGGCAATTGATGAGCCCCGAATCTGGTCACGGATTTGCATGAACCACATTTATAGTAGTGAGGATTGGAGAAAGGCACTTCGGGGATTTGGGGCCCAGCCAGGGATGCATCCAAAAAATCAGGCTTACTTGGAACGTCTCCCCATATGGTTCTCTCGTTCAAAGGACCTTCTGCTGGACGTAACCATCACTTTCACGAATGCATCAGAGGGTGTGCAGAATGATGTAAAAAAGGTGGCTTGGCCGTATCTGGGTCGTTGCCGATCGTTGAACGTATCCTTTTATCTGGATTTATCGATGGCGGGTTCGGGCTTCATGGTCGATAATACCTTCACATGGTTCCCACTGCCCAACATGCCCCATCTCGATGTTCTAAGTATTTGCCTAGTGTCGGGGGGACGATATCAGGGAACACGAATCCATCTTGGTCCACCTCTCACTTTGCGCCAGTTTGAACTCACCGGAGACACGTATCCTATCTTTGATTCGGAAATCACGGCTGTTGACCATCTGAGTCTAACCGATCTTAATGGCCATTCCGTGTTCAAGGCCCTGCAACATTGTCCTGATGTGAGGCAACTTACCTTGCAACGGACCGAACGCCCTTCGCCACCCTTCCCTCCACATCTATCATTCCCCTCTCTTGAGGTACTTAAGGTTACCAGCTCCTTGCAATTTCCTATCGAGGCTGCCCCGAACCTTAAGTATCTAGATTGCTTCAGTTGTCACGACCCGCATCAAACGTACGAACTTGTTCGTGATTATGAGCAATGCTTCTCGAATCTCGAAATATTCGCCTTCCGCGGCCTCACTGTGGATACTCTGCGGAGTATTGGAAATCAATCCTTCATTCGCTCTGAAAATCTCAAAGCGATCATATCATCGTGGGGCTCGGATCCAAGAACGGTCATTGAATTCTTTAGCCTACCTATTAGTCCAGATGCATCTCATTCTCCCATGACTTTAACCGAGGGTTCGGTGGACCGGCCCTTCCCCGCTCTCAAATTACTTGTCATCGATGATATCGACTTCGACCTCTCAGTTTGGCATTCATCCTCTGGATCACTGGTTGATAATTTAGAAGGCATGCTCGGAGCTCGGCCGGAACTGGTTTTGTATTGTGTGTCCCCAAACCCCCGCAAAGCCGTGACAAACACTGTCCTGGAATTTGCTCGCCGTATGGGTGGGCGCTTCGTCATTACTCACTCCCGTCCTCATTTAGACGCTGATGAATCTGTGGAACAGTGCATATGGCGATTCACGTAAGTGTGATCCTTGACCCATATCAGCATAATAGTCATTTTGCTCTCCCTTCATCTAGTCATGGACGTTTACAATTTGGAAATTAGTTATAGAGAGAATAAGGAGTGTTTGGTGTGGGTTCCTGTAATTGGAAAGCGAAGAGGCTCAAATCAATCCAAAATGACATCAGTCCGTCGTTGCATCTTCGAGCTCGGCATGGCACACGTAGTGAAAGCAGTCGCATGGAGCAAATAAAGATAAGGAACGGACCAGAACACGAGTTCACTTTGGTTCTTGTGGGTTGGAAAGGGGGGGGGGGTAAGGGGTCTGAATTTGGTACTTCAAAGTGTTTCACGCTAAGGGTCCGGACAAATGTGCGTACACACGGGGTTCACTGACTGGGAATCATCCCAATGATATCCTATTGCCGTAAGTACAAGCATGGTTTTCTGTCCAACCACCCTATCATTCCAATCGCCAGCGCTGCCTCCACGCCCGATTCCGACCCGGACATAATGTTGGAATTTGCACGTGGTCTTTTTTAGGGAAACCTAAAAGTTGGACATACTGGGAATCGAACTCCAGTCTTCTGGATCGCGAACTCAGCGCGCACTGCCATTACACCATACGCCCTGTTAGGCTGAGGTGGTTATTTCAACACATAATTCCCTCGCACTCTGGCACTTTCCCTACGTCAACCTACCAGTAACGCTATCCATTTATCCAGCGGCTGTTAAGGCCCAGCTTAGTCGTTGGGAACTGGGGTGAATCATTCAAGATCGCTCGACGTGTGGGATAGTTCTCTTCGAGCAATTGACCAAACGTTGTCTTTCCATCACCCGATTTTGTACTAAGTTCATAAGTTCAAATATCATTTTGGAAAACAAATGTACGGAATGTACATCTGCGTTGCGGTGATTGAGCAATGTGGTCACCGACGTGAGATATGAGAATGATGTGGAGATGTGGAAACAAAGCGCGGGGGACCCATCTGGTTGGTATGGGGCATCTTCAGAGCTATGGCCGAGGCAACTGGATCCGCGCAGCAGTTCCTATGACGATTCACATATGTGTGATCCTTAACCCATATCAACCTAATGTGTGCTAAATATTGCCTTACTCTCCCTTCATCAAGCCATGGACGTTTACAATCATGAAATCAGTTGTAGAGAGAAGAGTGTTCCTGCGGTTGGAAGGAGAAGAACAGACAGTAGCCGCATATCAAACGGAAATCACGCCATATTCGAGCTCGGCCTTCCCCCCCCCACCATATCCCCTTGAGATCTCCCTCCTTCCATTTCTCCTCTCGTCTGGCGCACATACGTAGTGAAAGCAGCTGATGGTTCCACGGAAGGAAAAGGATTTACGACAAAGACCACACCCATTAAGCGATGAATGTGTTGTTGCGAGACTGATTGTAACTATGGGGAACCAGGAATGGAAGGTTGGGTCAAAACTGTGATGATTTGAACAAAGTATAGCAAACAAGGACTCAGGACGAGCACAGCTGCAACAAGAAAACGTAATAATACAGCAACCGTTAGTACACTGTATAATATTGTTTGCAAGGAGGAAACTACACACCACCTTCTGGATAATCTCCTGAAGATGTCTACGAACTTCTAGAGGCGTGGGGGGAAGAGCAATGAAACGGCGGTCCTCACGATGTCCAACTTCTCGGAGGCGCGTGGCGAACTCGGGACACCCATTTTTTGTATCCGCCACGCACATAATCACATCCGGCCGGGCATTGAGCAAGTTCAGTGATGCATCGTCGAAGTTTTGTTGGAGAGATCTTGGCAGCCTACTGGATCGTCCTCATGGAGTGTGGAACTCTATAAAGATTATCCTCAGCGCTGGGAAGGGCATCCACCACTTCACGGATCCCATAGCAGTTGTAGAAGAGAACGGGTCTATAGATTGGGTAAGGTATCCAAGAAACTCTATTACATCCGAAGTGGGTGCCCCGGAATGTTTGAACACAAGATCTCAACACCCTGAGGCTCCCAGAGCGGACCAACGATCCACTTCTCAGATCACTGACAGTGAGCTCATGAAACCCAAAAAATTCGATATTGGGGAGCACATCATTGCAAATGATCTGGAATTGCTCGTTCGATTCATCCATATCCTGTGCGAGTGAGGCACGCAGTCCAGGTGCTTGAGGTTAGGAGCAGCTTGGAGAGGAAACGGAAGGGATTTGCAAACCACTAGTTCCTCAAGAGCTGGAAACGAGAGTGATGCTAATGGAGTAGACGCATGGAAAGGCGGTCGGTTACGGTAAAATTGGAACAGAAAAGTCTCCCCCCAAATTAAACTCCCGGAGAGTCAGAGGAGTTCTTCCCCAGAAATCTACTCCCATAGATAGTAAGATTCGCAATGTATCGAGATGAGGCATATGAGGTAGAGGAAACCATTCAGTTGCCTACCACCGCCCCCATTCCCCCTTTGGGTTGATCTCCGCCTTCCAATTTTCCATCACGTGTGATACTTTCTCACGTCCGTTGGCACGCAATCGCACAAAGCAGCAGGAATAAGGTAAAGAAGAACATATCATAGGTAAGAAAGTAAAATGCTTTTGTATTCTGGCAACGGCATGATCAACTAGGATTAGGAATGTAAAGGCTATCTTTCAACATTTTCATCACCTCCCCCCCGTCGAGCAACATTGGATCCTCACAATCATTAAAAAGTACTTCGTATTGGACCGATTTATCTCTCTTCCTGTGGTATCCAATAATCTCATACATTCCAGATCCATCTGAATCGTGTGAGAGGACGAATTGCTTCCCGTGCAGTTCATCCGGATCCTGAAACAGTTGGCGCTCTTCGGGTGTAAGACGTCTTGGCTCAGCTGATGGCTTTGAGAGAGGCGGCTCGCGGTTGTCAGTGGGAGAGGGAGTAGAGTTCACAGGTCGCCTGTAAAACCACATTAAGGTGTAGACAAGATGCAGGCCAGGTGACTCACGATAATTCCTGATGCCTTTTGATGATCGCCAACTGCACACTATCAGATTGTTTTCCAAACTTGCAAAACAGGAGGCACATGAGACCTCCATGAGCGGCATATGCGATTTTAACACGACTGCACAGTCGTCAGGTACATAACAAGGACGAAAGATGATTTACAAACTCAACTCATCAAAATTCTGTGGCACCAACTGACATATCTCGTCACAACGTGCAAGATATTCGTCGACTTCGTCCGCTGCAGGTAGCCATCGTTGGTTGGGTTTAGCAACAAGCGGTGACTCCTTGAACTTTGCTTGCGCCGCGCAGGACCTCGGTAAATCAGTTCTAAGCACTGCAGACTGTTCCATTAAGATAAGCTCGTATCTGAACTGTTCTTGAGCCATGCATTCAATGAACGTGATTGTAGCCGAATCATGAGGCATTGTTGTAAGATCTTATGTGCACGCAGGAGGAGACGCAACAGATAAGCGGGGCAACAGTCCCGGCAAATGCCAAAATCTCTGGAATTGAAGACGACCCGGGAATTGAAGATGACCCGGCTAATGTATAATAGGCAGGAGATCGGGGAAGGAGGAGGGTTACGCAAAAACGAGGACAGCGAGGAATAAGGATGGGAAAAGCAGAGGTTACAGAGAACAAGGAAACAACCGAAAAAACGAAACCTAGAAAAACCTGAGTAAGCAATCGGGATCCCACCCACCGAGAGTAACCGAAGGTCACAACACCTCCCCCTCGGCGAGACCGAAAGGCTTACCGGAAGCAAGGAAGTCCAAGGAAAGACTTCGTCAAAAAACAGCTTACAGGCCAAAAGAACAAGACTAAGAAAGATAAGGTCTTCAGCAGAGGATAAGATATAAGAGGGCCAGAGCCCTGTAGCATAGGCGGACGCAACACACGTACGAGAACGTCCGGAGAAATCGACTCAGGTATCGGGGCAATGCTCTGTTCATCCTCTTGCCCGAATCCGCTGGAAAATCCCCCGCCCCCTTATCGGTAATGGATGATATGGTCGCTCTTCTGCACCGAGTTTTCAAACAGAAGGCGCGTGATTGACAGGCCATCGCCTCTAGAGCAGTACCACGCCATACACCAATTAGGCTGGTGGAAAACATGAATTTGCCATTGACAACGACGATACATTATGATCCCCGAGATGCTGTAGGATCGAGGGAACAATCAGACATCCGCTCCGAACCTCGGTCCCTGCCACAACTTACCATCTGTCTTCTCCGATCTTATAATAACTCAACCCGTCGACTTTCACGCACTTGCCCTCATGATGTTCTTTCACCTACATCCACATTATGATTGTGTAAATATATCCTTTCTACGTCCACGTTACTGTCGTCCATTAGGCGCCCATGGAACCCAGCGAAAGTGACAGTTTGTGAGAAATCAACTCGATATGCGTACTTTGTCCACGTCAAGATGCCTCCTCATCAGTATACTATAGTGGTGCTGGAACCACATGCAAACTCAGGTGGGGTGACGAGCATGCGTGGACAACAAGTGGTTTCTGAGGCTCAATGAAGCTGGCCAACGATGACCATATAGCATTACAATCGCGGAGATAGGAGGACTCGTGCGGTTCGCACAGGTGTGCGGCGGGGACAGCAAGTGGTTAGTTGGGATCTCTTCGTCCAATCAACACAGTCGATTCGGAGAATGCTCATAGGTTCCAGGTTTCGTCGTGCAGCCTTGCTAGCACGGGCTCGAGAGTAGGCAGTTGTCTGACTCGCCCCTGGTCATGTATAAAGGCAAATTTGCAGACTCGCTCTCCCTCAGATCTCTCCCGCGAGACTGAGGTGAGAACTCCGTATTGATTCAAAATGCTAATATTCTTGTATCACATGTGCCGTAGCCTAGCCAAAGAAGGCTCCAACCTGCCGTCCGAATACCCGTACAACACTTTAGCGGCATTCATGAGAAGCCTAAACAAACGCCAATATAAGGACGAATGGATCTCTCACTGGAACACTGATCCTACACAACAAAAACCATCAGAATACCGAAGCTGTAACCGCACCAACACGACAACTGGCGCGGCCCGCGCACGGTACCTAAACCGAATGCGCGTGATTGATCAGCACTGTGGAGTATAAAGTGCTTGGCTCGAATTGCTGGCCCTACGTCACAAGCGAGTCAAACGCGGCGCTGTATTCTTATCTTTGACGCTATAAAATTATTCCAGAAATAGAATGACGTGCTCGAACTTAGCCTCAGTGACCATACCGACGAGACCCCAAAGCGTATGACGTCCCTCGAGCGCCCATTTGGATCCGAAACATGCGGCGTTGACATAAACCTAATTGATTTTGACACCGTGGAGTAACTCCAATAGCATGCGTAAGCTTCCCGCACCCGTTGAAGACGTCATCGACAACGGCGATTACGCTGTGGTGTCCGGCGCCGTATGACATCACAAAATGCCACATCCGCCCCTCTTCAAACCTTGGCCGGTTGGGGTATATAAACCCGTCCATTTCCCATTTCCCCCCTCTTTCAACTCCCTCATCCGATTACTACAACCACTACTTGACGACTTGCCAATCACCATCATGTCTGACACTGGACGTCAATCTTTCACCGACAAAGCTGGTGCTGCTCTCAAACCTGACTCTGAGAAGACTACTGCTGGTCCGTAATACTACTTCCTCGCTCTCATCGTGTCCGCCATCCGCATTTCATCGATCTTCACTCCCTCCTTCACAGAACACGTCGGCGACGCTATCAAAGGAGCAGGAGACTCGCTCGCTTCCACCATTCAACCTCAGAATGACAAAAGTTCCTCGCAAAAGATTGGTGACACTCTCTCGAGCAACCAGAACGAGGATCAAAGGACCCTGACTGAGAAGGCCAAAGTGAGCTCGCTCCCTCTGATATGTGTTCCGTGAGGTGGCTTGTTGTGTCTTAACATGATTGTCTTCTTATAGGACACTCTCGGATTGGGGAACAAGTAAACGTTCATGGCTTATCCGTTCGAGACGACGACGAACCATTTCCATTCCTAATCCCCTTCTTTCTTCTTTCACCGCACGTTTAGTCGACCCATTTACTTTCACTCACTTGCCTTCGCGCTTGTTCAATGTGAACGTCTGCGGCGTTGTCATTGTGTAGTAATAGTGTAACATATACTTGATGCGTAGCTAACCTCCATGCGTGTGTTATCGTTGACAAATCGTTTCGACGTACATTGTCCCAATCATCATAATAGACTGTCAAAACCTGTCTCGTCCACGTCAGCCTCTCTGCTTCCCTTTGTTGGGTTCGCAGTTTCCACTAGTAGCACTGGAACGAAGGCTGATAACACACCGATCTAACCATTGGATGCTGCGCGTACACGCACGGAACACCCCTGCGGTGATTTTTCCTTAAAGTGCGGCTCCGTAGGTACGTGTAGAGGCGAATGTGAATCAATGGAGCTTGATGAGTTGGTGAGGTACTCGTGTCGCAAGCGAATGCGCCCAACATCATGAACTCCAGTCTGAAACAAATTGCTAGTGTCATGTTTGCGAACACTTTTTGATGTACTGTGAACAACCTAGCATCAATAACACTTTCTGGGACATAAATTCTATTGTGGTAAAGTGCTTGTAAGCGGACATGCAAAGTGGCATGTGTGCTGCTTGGGGATGTCAGGGATATACCGAAGTTGGCCGTATCATACAGAGATAGGGGCACTAGTTGAGGAGAAGGGTCGTTAGTTGGAATCTCTTCGTGTGAGTGACATGAAGCTAAACTTGACTTCTTCGCGCGCGCGCGCGAGACTTATCGCTAGGGCTAGCGGCAGCAAGGAAAAGCAGAGAAGCACGACTAGCCTAAACATGAAATCTTTGCGTGAACTGACAAATGACAATAAACGGAAATTGTTGACAGGATTCCCATATATGGAGATTGTTGGGGGTTGTTTGTTATCTGCAAAGCTGCTCGCCTTCCAGGCTTGCATGCAGCTATTTACCGATGTTTATTAGTGGGATTCGGACCGAGTCGCCCAGTCCTTGATCTCTAGCGCTTTAGGGTAGGCACTCTCGTTGGGAATGAACGGGGCCAAAAGCTCGCACACTCTCAAGGATATACACGATCTACCTCCAGAGATTATCCGCGAAATTTTCCTGATCGGCCTCGCCAGCAGTAATGCCTACCAAGATATTAAGTATCGAATCGCCATATCGTCCGTCTCCCATCTTTGGCGTTCCTTCGCATTGGAGGAGCCGAGGTTTTGGTCCGACGTCAGTATTTCCCTTAGATGGCCAGTCTCGCGTGTGTATGGGGCGACTGATCAGCAATCGGGAGACGGACCCGATCATGTCGCTGTGCTGAGTCGAGCATCCGTGTGGCTTCGTCGATCGAAGAACGCGCCCTTGCACCTCACTCTGATGCTGTACAATGTGCCCCTCGTGATGCAGAGGGAGGTCAGGGAATTAGTGGCTCCTCATTTTTACCGGGTCAAGACCCTGTCGCTTCGCCTTCATCA